GAACCAGGCTTTATGGTTTAGCTTGATGTGGTTTATTCAACAAACTTGGATGGAAGACCTAATACTTTGCATAATGCGCGAACATCACCACTGTGGCTTAATTAGTTAACCATGGTTAAAACAAGTCTTTGCTGAGTATGAATAAATCTGGCCATACTCTAGTCTCATCTGGAATTCTTATTATTGCCCCCTTTTCCCCAGAACCAGCCCCATCACAAATCCAAAGAATGATCCTCCATCGTCCAAGCTCCTGTATCTTGGCAGAGCTGCTCTCTGAAACTTGCTCGGAGGCTCCGATCAGGCAGTCCTTGAAGGCATAAAATTCAGGACGGTTTCCTATGAAGAGCGTAGTGATGTCAGCACTCACCCCTTTTCTTGAAGAAAAAGCCAATGGGAATAGGGACGAAAAGGAATGCCATGTACACAATTCCATCAGATGAAACCGTATCTGCCAAAAGACACAGAGTGAAGAGAGTTATGTTGATCGAACTCAGAAATGCTGAAGGTACTAGACAGAGGACCACGAGCCACAGCATTGGCCTTAAGAATGATTTTTCCGAAGTGGAAAACAGGAAATGATGGACTACACGCATGCATGATACAGATGTACAGAACAGGTTGGTCAACACTGGTCTTGCATCCCTGGTCTTACATCCAATGACTTGGATCTTGATGGACCTATGAAGGATAAGAGGCTATTATTTTAATGCACTAATGCAAAATAGATTCAAACAGCCATGCTGCCTCCCTCCCCTCCCAAATCTTTCAAACACAATGTGTGGTTAATTTCATTTGCTGCTAGAAAAGGTAATGAATGATTAGCTACAATCTTTGAGTTCCAGGTGCCTACATTCTTCCACCTGTGTGATTTTCTTGACAATGCTAAGAAAGGAGTTGCCATCATCTACTTCTGAGATGATCTTCAACTTCCTTGGCTAGCCTACAACCTTTCCAGCTGAGCCTACATATTTCCTGGTTATCTTCAAAGGCTAACCAGGGCTGATTCTCTACAGCTTTTTGTAACCAGCCAAAGTAAGCTAGTTGCTGCCACCTCGCTGGGTGAGCAAGGCAGTCAGTGACACCAATTGTGACAAGAAGTATTTGCAACAAACACTGCAGTCGCAACTGGGAAAAATTAAGACAAATCATTCAAGACTCAGGCGCTGATTGATTGTCCCCCTCCATCCCTCTGGTGGCTCTCAAACCAGCAATGAAATCTAGGCAGTTCTTTTTATCACGTCATCTTCAAGCCAGCAAAAGTTCAGCATCTCCTGTTACTAG